TATTTTGCATGATATGATCCATAAAGAGGTCGAGCTGTACGCGGATGACATGATTGTCAAGTTCAAAGAAAGAGAGGGCCACTACACCGCCTTGAAGAAATTCTTCCAACGGATCAGAGAATAAAGATTGAGGTTGAATCCACAGAAGTGTACTTTCAGTGTAATAATTTTTTTTCCCATTCTATTGCTTCAGAATCATACAATTGATGAATGGTAAGTGTTTTGTATATGTTTGTGATGTCATTGAATAGAAATAATGATAAGATTGAATATATGTCAGCAATATGCGTGCTTTATCCCCAAAACCTAGGATGTCTAAGAAATTCTTTGCATTGAAATAGATTGAATTAATTTTTCTTAGGTTTTGTATCTAAAGAAAAATGTTTTGCTATGTTTTGTATATGAATTCTAGTTTAAATTGAATATAAATACTAGGTTTTGTTCGTGGTTAGAAAATTATTTGTTAAAGAACTTTATGCCCTGTTAGATAGAGCATCTCCAATCCTAATGCATGATTTAAAATATTGACAATATGAGAACTCTAATATTCTTTGTCACTTTATTGTTCATTAAAGAAAATAAAACAAATGGGAGAAAATAAATTGGGCTCAATTGATTTGAATGCAATTCTATTTCTAAACTTATCACATTCTATTAAAATTTTATGATATATAATACTAGCTATTACTGTCTATGGTAGGGGCTTTTAGAGCTCTAAAATTATATAAAAAATTTACATGACTCACGAGATTTTTAAACAAATTTATACCAAAAACTCAAACCTTACAGTACATCTAAATTCATATAACTTATCAATGTGTGTGTGTGTGTGTGTGAGAGAGAAAGAGAGAGAGAGAGAGAGAGAGAGAGAGAGAGAGAGATCTATTTTATTTTTATAACAATCAATGAGGAGGAGACTTTGATGGTATTTATCCCTCCCCTCCCCCTCCCCCACCCCATAAAAAAAATGGACCTTATGGGGGGAGACATATACACCATATGGTAAAAAACTTATTGGTTGATCTAACTTTAAAAGAGCACCGAAAACTCATCCTAAAAGGAGGTGCGCTTTTTGAATTTCGAGCTAAAAAAGTAGAGGTGTAAATGTGAATAGCTATACCAAATACTAACAAATTGGGGAAAAATTTAAAGGTGAGTGCAGGTAAATTTTCTCACAATCTATCGTTGAATGACAATATAAGTGGCTACATTTTTTATTTATTTTTTCTTTTCAATCTTAGCAGGGTCAATTGCCCTTATTTCCCCAATTGTCCTTCCACCTTGGCAACTCAATTACCTTGCTCTCAGCTCTTGTTATGATATTTAAACATCTCATACTTGTTATAGATTTTAGAACCATACCAAATTAGTCTTGCATATCACCCTCTCAATCATTGGACTATGGTAGTTGTTGGCTTGCTGTACTGACTTAAAATTAGGCATATGTAGACATCCCATTTTTGACGGCCCTTCAAGACTTGGATGTTTTGGCAGGTACATCCGACGATGAGTCTGATTGCTCACCGAGTGCTCGAAGTCCTCAGCGGAATGCCACAGCTTTGAGCCTTTCAAACCCTGCATCCATTGTCTCATTTTTTGACCATGCCTTGGTATTGCCAGCCTGCAATCTCTGGTGGCCTACCGGCTCTCTTTGGAGGCTATCGGCCATTGATGTGCCTTGTCGGCCATCAATGATGCCTTGCCGGCCATCACTGATGGCAGACCGGCCACCAGTGTTTTCTGTAGATATTTTATGCCAGCTGTTTGCACAGATGCTTGCATCTATCCACACGTGGAGGGCTAGATCTCCTTGTATAGATTGAATGTTTTTCTGTATATATGAGGTGTCCTCCCCCATTTTTGAGGGTTAGAAAATTTGAGACCAAAGATATCTCTCTTTTTCTCTTGCAATTTTGTGCACACTTGCCTAGTTACATCACTCTTTTGCATACACATCCTTAACCAAAATTGGTCACCTTTGAGCTGAGGTCTCTTAAGGCCTTGTTGCAACTCTTGAAGGTGGTTTTTACTTGTATTTGTGCCTAAAGTTGTGCTTGGCTTCAAGAGGTATAACACTTGTCTTTTAAACTTGTTTTAGTACACTTGTTTCTCTATCTTTTCCCACTGTTTTTGGGCCATTTTTGAGCTGTAAAAATCTTTGTTTTAATAGGCTAAAATTGGTGTTTTAATTCATTTAAGGTTAGGGGGGGTGTCTCACTCTTCTTTATTCCTTGCTTCTAAGGCTTTTGCACCTTTGTTTCCCACTTTCAAACCAAACTTTTTTGGGCTTTTAACCACTGAATTTTAGAGTATTTTTAGTGGCAAAAAACATGTTTTGAAGTCCTAAATTGGAGGGGTTAGCCTCCCCTCCTTGTATCTTGTTTGCTTGCCTAGTTAATTATGTATGTTAGCATGATTTTCTAGCCTTTTGTAGCTATATTCCAGTATGTTTTTGCCTCTGTTTTAGACTACTTTAGCTATGTTTTGGGCTGTTTGGGTCAGTTAAGTCTTGTTTTGCATGGTTGTAGTGTAAAGGTCCTCACAAGCTTGGTGTTTTAGGCCATTAAACAACCGTTATTTGAGTTGATTCCATGTTTTTAGAGCTTTTCTTACTTCATTTCAGCACTAATCATCTCTATAACCTCCCTCCTTGCTTGGCTTTTCATTTTTCTTTGAAAGTGGTTTCAAGTCACTTGTTTGCCTAAGTGTGAAATTGAGGTTTCATACTTAATGGTTTAAACTCTTAGGGGGATCATTACCAACGGTATGATACCTTTTTCATACCCAAAGCAACTTGTGTCTTGAGCTTTTCATTCCATTAGAGGACTTTAGCTCACCTTTTGGACTTAATTGGATTAAAAAATGGTTGGTAAGTTAAAATGAGTAACAAAAACTTGGAACTAAAAGTGAGCTAAGATAAGTACTTGTTTGTGTTCTTTGTGTTCAATTGGACGTTAATTGAACATGTGGAACTTGGACCATTTCATGTGATGAAATGATCCAAGTCTCCAATTTAATGAAAGGGGGGAGGTTTGTGTCTCATTTTGCATTTATTGAATTTGCACCCCTTGAATTACATGCCACCATGCAATGAAATTGTTTAAGTTGGTGGTTTGTGGTCTAAGTTCACATTTCCTTGGATTTGTTCATGAAAAGGAGGGGTGAATTGTGCAAACAATCTGTGAGAATGCCTTCATTTTTGCTTTGTTTGTCCTCTGTTGCAGCAGATGAAACAGTGCATCAGTGGCCGGCAGTGCACCATTGATGGCCGGCAGGTGGCCGGCAGTATTTCCTCATG